CTTTGGAGTCTCTCCCAAGAGGTTCTGAAGAACTGAAAACTAGAAATGAGGCTCAGGCAAGGATGGGCTGGGTGGGCTGCGGGGGGACAAGGCGCCTGGGATCCAGGGGAGAAGGGAGAGGCTCTCGCAACCACGCCCGCATCATCCGTGAGAAACAATCCTCAGGGGTGATCCCTGGGAACTGGGCGGGCAATCTTGCCAGCACCGCAATTCTTTCGTTTTTTATCTGAACAAAGTCATCGTAGACAAGAAGAGCAGCAAACAGTCTTGTCTGGAACACTCTAACTGGGCATTTGCTTTATGAATCTGGTATCGTGTTTCATTCATTTAATCTCATGTCCACAGCACACTGGCTGCCACACGTGCGCCGTAGCAAACCTTTAGTTTGTCTTTATAACAAGATGTGTCTACCAAAAAAAAAAAATCCATGGACTGGTGTTAAAGGCACATTATTAAATAAAAAAGAAAAGAAGCAAGAGAGATAAAATAATCTCCTTTGTGTGCTATAAATGAAATTAAAGACAATAAATATCCTATACCTAAAGATCCGGGTAGATTAATGTCAACGAAACTATGGGAACTTAATATTTCTTATTCATTTTTGCATCCCTTAAATTCTTTGTGAAGAACATACAGACTTTGGTTTTTGGTTCAGTTTGGGTTTTGTTTTGTGTTTGTGGTTTTTTTTTTTTCCTTCTGATGATTCAAACAGCAACAAGCAGACACTCACCAGAAAGAACGAGAAGACAGAGCTCGTGCGGGAAAGTCTGAGCAAACATCTTCCTGCGAAGTCGCTGCAGCTCAAGTGCTTTAAAATCAGCCTGGAAAAGCAGCACCATCAGCCAGGGTCGGTCCACGGGGTGACGAAGACTCCGGGCCTGTCTTGCCATTTACCATCCTGCCTGCCTCCTGCCAGCTTCGTGTGTGCCGACTGCTGCTTATTATCCTTTCACAGGGCCGCAGTATCAATATTTCATGTCCTATTGTCCCTCATTGTTTATCAGCACCAGAGCCCCAGAGCGCGCCGCAGACAGGAGGCCTGAGCCCCGGCTGGAGTCGCGTCCCCTTAATGTCAGAAAACCGCGGCTTCCTCCGGAGGCTCCCCTGGAGGACAAGCTCACCGTGACGCTCCGTCTAGCCCATTTGCCCATCACAAGCTCCTTCCAGGGTTACTCAGAAATGCGGGATTGTGCTGAGCCGAAGGCACTTGGCTTCGGCGGAACACTCGCCCCGAGTCTCCACCGGAGGTGTGTGAGGCCCTGTGTGTGCGCCGCGGGGCTGGGGCTCTGCTGCGGGGCCGGAGTGGGCGCCCGGGGGGCCCTCCCTGCACAGCACCATGAAGGCGAGCTCCGCCCCGGCCCTTCTCTGCTGGCCCTGGCCCGTCCCAGCCTACGGAAAGCAGAGCCCGAGGCCGAGGGGACCCCACTGAGGGCTGCGGCGGGGGAACTGAGCGTGCTCTCAGCTCTGCCCCCTCTCGAGCTTGCCGGTGCGTCCACTTCCCCTGTGCCCGGGTGTTTCTATCTGAATGAACCCGGAAGGTCTTCAGGAGAAAGTGCTGAATGGCGCTGCAGGCTGAGTCCAGTCTCCAGATTCCTGGCCCTGCTTCAAACGTGGCCTCACCCGGCGGAGACTGGGCGCTCTTACCGAGGCTGCCAGCAGAGCCGGAGAGCCTGGCGCTTGCGAGGAGGTGCCCGTCTCCAGCCCTGCCCCTCCTGGGCTCCTGTACAATAGCCAAAGGGAAGGGCTGGTGGTGGGCAAGGGCCTGTCGCATCGGGCCGGGCTGGGAGGACAGCATCTCCACGACCAGCATCCACTCGAAGCTGCCCCTGGCGGGCACCTGCCAGCCCGTCCCCCGGATGGGTGCTCTGCAGTTTTCTTCCAACTTTCAGACTCACAAGACTGGAGACCAGAGCACTGCTGCTTGCAAGGGGATCTCCCTTAGGGTCACTTCAGAAGATCAATATCCTATTTTTGGCCATAACACTTGGAGTCGATGAATGATGGAAATTTCCTACAACTTCCAGAAATGTCTTATCAAAAGTGCCAAAAAGAGATGGTGCCCACGCTGCTTCTGGGGAGCACCCAGCCCCGGGCCCCCAGATGGGCGTCACGGTGAGGCTGTCATCTGGTGAGATGGGGAGCCAGCTGTCCAGAGCACATGCAGGGGTGTACGTGTGGCCCCTGCACAGGTCGGACCCCACTGGGACCATCTAAGCCTTCCAGTGACCATCATGGCCGGGCATCAGGGGTCTGCAGGGGCATCCTTGGTGCCAAGGCCTTGGCAGCATCTGCGAGCATCTTTGAAGCTTCAGGCCTCACCCTTTGTTCAATGTGCTAATCCACAGGCGGGACCAAGGCTTTGTAGATCTATTAGCAACTCAGAACTGCGAGCACATTAAAATTTATCAATTATAGCCCAAAGGGTACTCTGAAGGGGTGGGAAGCCCTGCCCTGGGGACGAAGAGTAAAAAGAACCGGCTCTCCATGGGCACAAGGAGCTGCCAGGGCCCTGAGCTAGTCTGACCCCAGACCAGCAGCAGCTGCTCCAGCGGGGACGGGCTGGTTCTGTGAGCGCTTTGCTTTTTGGCGTTTTTTTGTTTTATTTGCTTCAGAAACCACAGGAGATCGTGTAAACCTTTGAAATGTATTTCCATGAAGCCTATTTTTCATCACTGCTAATTCCCATCTAACGCACATGAAACAGGAAAGCCAGTCATAGCTGCAACGAAATAAACCTGTGATACATTTCCCACACACGTACACACATCTGTGCAATTATTTTCAAGGCGTCTTTACGTACATTGAAATTAAATCAATTGGAATGAAATCAACCGATAATTTAAATTACCAAGTGAGAGAAACTATGTGACATTAGTTCTGAACTTTAAAGGATCATGGACACTAACCCGGGGGCTCACCTGAGAGCTTCTGAAACATCAAAGATAGCGGGAAAATAAACGCTGGTGAATCGCTGCGAAAAATCCCAGCGATCAGCGGCTGCTACTCCCCCAGGCAAAGACCGTCCCGGGAGATGCAGCAACCCTGGCCAGGCGCAGGAAGGGGCAGGAAGGGGCCCGGATTCAGCCACAGGAGGGGTGCACCGGGGGAGGCAAGTGACGGGGTGCAGGGCAGAGCAGGCGGGGCGGGGGGGAAGGAAGCATGTGCTGCCCCCCAGGCTGCAGAGCCGGCCCGGGGACGGAGGGGCGGCCCCACCTCTGCCACTTTGCCGATGTCTGACGCTGAAGCCCAGGACACAGTCAACAGGCCGGTGCCTCAGGCCTGCCGGCTCCAGGTGAGCAGGCCCAGCCCTGTGCTGCTCAGTGCCCTAGTGACGCCAGACCTGCGTGTGAGCAGGACGCCCTGTGACCCCATCTGTCTGGGCCGCTCCGAGGTCGTGGCCAATCTGGCTCTGTCTTGATTTCGCATCTTGGCAGGAAACGCGTGAAAGGAAACAGCAAATGGCTCGCACACAGAGATACCCAGTGAAGCGGCCCCGCTGCCGCCCACCCGCCCGGCTCCGCTCCGAGGCCCTCAGGGGCAGGACACGCTCTCAGACGGCTCTGGGGACTGCGACCAGCAACCAGGCTCCGCAGCGTGAAAGACAAAGCAGGGGCTCTTTCCTGGCGCGCCCACGGATCAGCCGCTATCAGAGCTGAGGCGCCACCTCCGCAGCCAGGAAGTGGGGCGCCCTGCGCTGGGGGCACAGGACAGAGCCCCACCATCGGGGAGGGGGCGTGCGTGGCGGAGGGCTCCGGGGCAGGCTGCTTCCTGCCTGTCCAGATGTAGGGTCTCCTTGGCTGGCGGCTGCATCATCCAGTCTCTGCTTCCACCCGTGGGGCCGAGGGGCCCAACCCTCTGCTTTAGCAGGACACAAGTCACGGGGTGGAGCCCACCCCAAGCCAGGGCGACCCCATTTTACCTGCACTGGCTCTATCTGCAGCACCTACTTCCCTGTGAGGTCTCTTCTCATTCTGAGGCTCCGGGTGGACATGAACTGGGGGGACTCAACCCAATACAGCTCCCATCCACACACCCGCTTCCTCAACAGCCATCCCTTCCCGGGGCCCTGAGGACGGGCTGGCTGGAACACGGCGCGCTAGGCCAGGCGGACAGACACACGGACGGATGGAGGGAGGTGGTTGGTGGGTGAATGGATGGGTGGATGGTGGGCAGGTGGATGAAAGGTCTGCATGGCGGGGGGATGGATGGACAGACGGGTGAACCGGGCAGAAGGCTGGATGGAGGGGTGGTGGGCGGTGGGCGGGTGACAGACGATCACAGATATGATAGATTTGATAGACACACACACATAAGACATGCACCTCGTTATGCTGACGTGAACCTCATTACTATGGCATTGGCTATTTTTATTAGCGCCCACCTTCTAAACAGGGCACAGGTCGGGAAGCTGGAGCACCCCAACGTGCGGCTTCTTGAGTCCCCTGTCCCCTGCACGGCCTCTCCGCAGCCAGATCAGCGACGTCTCCCAGCCCAAGACCACCCGTCATGACGGGCACCTGCATCGCTGCTCCCGCCGCCCCTGCGGGCTGTCCTAGTGCACCCCACTGTCCCCCACAGCAGCAGGCGAGCAGCACGTCAGCCGGCAGCTGGGACGTGGAGGCTCTGGCGTGTGCAGGCCAAGCGGGCTGGAGAGGCGGCAGCGGGGCCCGCAGCTGAACCACGGGCAGTGGCCCCCACGAGATGGGTCAGCCCCACAGGCTGCACACTCCGCCCTGGAGGGCGCACCCCAGCAGTGCCACCCCGAGTGCCCGCGTCCTCCATCCAACAGGCTAAGGGACAATCAGCCCAGAGCCTCCCGCCTGACGCCCGGAGACCCCACTGTACGGCTCACTCACACTTGGGGGAGGGAAGGACGGACGATGCGCGACAGCGCGGGTGCTCGGAGAACAACCACACGGAAGTGCCACGAACACGTGGCTTTACTCCAGGCCGTGGGCTGAGGCCTGTGCAGACGCGCCGCGCTGAAGCCGGAAATACAAAACCAATTTCAAGTACTTCCCGTGTTAAGTCAGTTTTTCTTTCATTTTAGATTTTTCTTTATTTTCGCTTTGACAATAAAATGGAACAAAGAAAACTATCAGGAGGAAGTTTATCACATTCAGTATTTCTAAGACCAACTCGTGGTAGAACGATCAAACCATCGCGCTCACAGCTGTGGGACGACCAGCCCCCGAAAGGTGGGGCGGACAGACGGACGAGCTTCAGGGACGGAGGGCTGCACAGCCCGCGAGCCCCCCACCCCTGCCGTCCCCAAGGCGCTGGACCAGGACTGGCGGCCGAGGGCGGGCCGGGCGGCGGCTTCAGTGTCAGCGCAGCCTGGGCTGCCCCAGCTCGGGGCGACGCCACAGGACAGGAGGGCCCTGCGCCTAGAAAGGGGGGTGCTCCTCCCCTCGGATGCTCCGGTACTTCGCCATGTCTTCTGGAAAGACTTTGGAAAGTTCTTGAATCAAGAGACTTTTGAATTTCTACAAAGAAAAAAAAATCACACTGTCAAACCACCTCCATGGGTGACCTGTCACCCACTTAGAGACTGCGCCTCCCAGTGACTCAGGGGTCCCCAAGGGGAGGGGAACGTGCTTCTCTGTCCACCGCTGACCTTCCAGGGCCGCCTCTGCCGGGGATGCCGCAGCGCTCTTACCTGAACCGCAGGGACAGGTAACAAAGCGGCTACTTTTTTTAAAGATTTATTTTTACTGATTTATGCACACAAGAGCTGGGGCGCAGGCCAGAGGTGTGGGGAGAATGCTGAGAGGATTCACCAGAGACAGAGTGGGGAGCACAACAGGCAGACGGACTGAAATCCACTGCTGAGGGGAGCAGCGGGGAGACAGGAAGGTCTGCTGCGCCCTGTGCGTCAGCTCCTTGGCCGGGGATCGAACCCGTGCTGCAGTGGCTGGTGATAAGCTTGACAGCGCTGAGACTCCAATCCCTGGGAGGCCCTAACTAAGCAACTATTAACCGGAAGGCACCAACTCTCTGTGCGCAACCCACTGGCTCCGGCATCCAGGGAGGCTGGGAGCTGCCTGCTCCTCCTCAGGGGGCGTCTGCTTCCCTCTTTCACAGCAGTTAAAACACCTGCCAGCTCACAAAGCGCTTCCAGGGGCCACACTGAAGGACGACCCCCGAGTCCACGTGTGGTCATGCAGCCCACGCCAGCCACACTGGCTCAAGTCTCAAGCACAGCCCAGCAGCTCCGCGGACAACAGCGCGCCCAGGAGGGCTGGCGGGATGGAGAGGTGGCCCGGGCTCGCGGACACCCCTCGGCCTCCAGGAGAATGAACACCTGCCGCCTGCAGCACGTGAGGGAGCCCAAGGGAGGGGCGTGCTGCACAGCGGGTGAGGCGCAGACAAGGGTGCCAGAAGCTTCCACGCACGCGCGCCAAAGGGGACTGGGAGAGGGACCGAGACGGGGAGAGGAGCACAGGGACAACGGCCACGGGTCACAGGTGAGCTGCTGGGAATGCGCAGGACTCCACCTGCGAGGAGCGCGCGCACCCGCGCGGAAACCAACAGTCACGCGAGAACATATTTAAATAAAATAAAGGGCGCGATGCCGACAAAGTAACGAAGCACAACAATCATGAGCCAAGACTCTGGCGAAGACGCAACGAAGGCGCAGACGAGGCGAGGTCCCGGGGCCAAGCGGGGCAGGAGGGAGGCGCCAGGAGAAGAGGCCCTACCGTGATGGCAGAACCACAACGGGCGGCTAGCGAGACCGCCCGCTCTCCCAGAGGAGCCCCACGCGGTTCCGGACACAACTTCTGGAAGGGGACCCCCCCAGCCACTGGGAAGACAGGCCGGCCCCCCTGGGGTCCTGACGGGGACAGGTGCGGGCCGGGTGGGTTCTGCCGGACAGCACAACCCGACGACAGGCCAGCTCGTCCCGCGCAGCCCTCCACGCGGATGTGCCCCGGGCCCGACGCTGACTAGGGCAGCGGCCACGGTCCCCGCCACCACCCACAGGGACCGCTCCGGGCGCCGGGACGCTGGGGAGCCGACACCCAGGGCGATAGGACAGGCCCCTCCACCCCTCACAGCCATCTTGACCGACGTCCCGCTCACTGGCTCATCCCAGGAGGTCACTCCGTGGCCATCCCTGCGTCCAGCAGACACCCGAGGGTCACGCCTGGGGCCCTGGGAGCCTCGTGAGGCCCAGAGCCCACAGCGGGTGGGACACAGCAGCACGTCCACATCTGTGCGCTCGGGAAAGGCCGGAGACAAACGAGGAGGAGAGGCTCAGTGAACCCCAGAAACGAAACCAGAGGTGCAGGGAAGGGGGCGAGGCAGCAGGTAGAGGCCGCAGGGGCCACGCAGGCCACCAAAGGTGCCCCTCCCCCCCGCCCTCAACCCAACGGTGAGTCACCCTGAGTAAGAAAAGCCACAGATTTCCTCCAAGAGGAGGCGCCTCCCGCGCCAGCAGAGACCCGGGGACAGAAGGCCGGGGCAGCCGGGGCCCCAGACCGGAGACCCACGGCCCCAGGGAGAGCCGGAAGGGAAGGGACAGAAGGCGCGGACACGCCTGACAGACGGACACCGGGAACAGCCCGCCCGGGAGTAGGACTCACCGGACGCCCCGTGCCCCGAAGCCGGGCGACACCCCTGCCGCCCTCAGCCCCTCCGGGGGCCCCCCTCCTCCCCAGGGCACAACGCCGCCCGACCTCCCACCGCGCGGGGCTGAAGCTGCCCGGTCAGGCTCGGAGAAGCAGCAGGAGGCCGGGAAGGCCCCTCAGGGGCGGGCAGCAGTCTGGCGGCCCCCACACGGCCCCGGGGAAGAGTCTCACCTTCATGGTGTCGATCTTGCCCTTCACCTGCTCGTTCTTGGCGAGCGCGCGCTCCAGGCACTCCTTGGTGTAGAGCAGCGGGTTCCGGCCTTGGTCTATGTACCTGCGGACAGAAGCTGGTCCGTGCGCGCCCTGCAGCCGCCCACGCCGCTCAGGAGCCGCAGGGAAGCAACCGGCCCTCGGCCCGGCGCGCGGGCTTCACGCCACCCTGGCCCCCTGGGCGGCCCAGACCCGTCTGCGCCGGGTGAGCCAGGACACCCTCGTTCACGGGCAGGACGACCCGAGCCCACCGGCGCTCGGGGCTCGAGTCAGACACACACGGCCCCGGTCCCGCGGGCCCTCCAGCCACCGGGTCCTCCCGAGGCCTGCGAGGTGAGGAGCAGCAGGGGCGCCCCAGGGCAGCCCCTCCCGCCCCGCCCCACCCCCTGAGCTCAGTGGCCTGGCTGGGGAGGGGCTCAGCCCCAAGGTGGTTTTCCAGGGGCTCCAGGAGCAGCAGGGGGTGGGCACGCTGCACCAGACGCATCCGCCAGTCTCGGGTATTTCCACACAGCATCGTTCTGGCCTTTCAGCCCTCACCCACGTGTCCTCAAGATGAAAGTCCCGTGACCTCATCACGCACCCCGCCCCGGCGGCCACCTGCCCACTGACTCCCCGAAGGGTCCAAACTCAATTGTTCCCGATTATCAGCTAAGTGAGTTATTACAGGAAAAGAAACCCAGCACCGTGCTAAATCCAGTCCATTCTTTATTGAATCAAAAAACACAATCACTCGGATTAAAGAGGCCGCTGCGTTACTGCTGACGGCAGGAAACTGGCTTTTAATGAGAAGATACAGCAGGTGAATCCACCAAGTTCCAGCAATTCCATCTTACTTCAACAGCTTTGAAATGATATAACGAAAGCAGCAAAATTATGTTAACTTTACGCTCAATCCCTCCATTCTGAAAAAGACACGGAACAGGGCGAACCACGGGTTAACAACCACCTCGCGGAGCTTCACCACTGCCCTAAACCCACAGCCTGCGCGCGCGCACCAGCCCCACGGGTCCTGTCCACCCCGTGCCGCCAGCAGGCTCGCGGTCTGCACTGTCCGCCTGGACACCGTGTGCGAGGACGCTCTGCAGGGAGGCAGGGGACCCGCCACTCCTAGGCGGCGCAGACCATGGGAGGTGCCCACTTCCAGTGCCTGCTGCTGCTCAGGGCTGACGGCCACCCGCCTGACGGACACCCAATGCAGCCGGCCCTTCAGCCCAGCGCTGCAGCTGTGCTGGCGGAGGCGTCACTGCCCCGGCCCGGCTCTCATGTACCCCACTCCAAGACTCAAGAAGTGCCTTGGCGTCTGTCTAGACCACCGCCCCGTCCTGGGGGCCAGTGAGCAGAACAGCAGCAGCAGGACCCTTCCGTGAAGGTGAAGGAGCCCTCGGCCCCCTCGGCCTCGGGCACACGCCCTTAACCCCCACCAGATGCCAGAGAAGTCAGCAGGGCTGACGGTAATAAGGAAGATCACCAAGGCCAGGGATGAGGGCAGAGACCCCCCCCTCCAAAGCTGCAGCGTGTGTCCTGTGCTTGAGGACGGCTGCGGCCCTGCAAGGCACTGTAAGGAGGGCCTGGAACCTGCTCTTTGGAGACGTAAAAGCCGCAACTTTCCCCTTTCTCGATCAGGGAAACCGTGACTGACACTTGCAGTTTACTGCTGAAAGCACGAGGCAGGCCCTGCCCATCCAGGCCTCCCTCCCGCCTCCCCCAGGGCACTGTCAACTGGCACACAGCAGCTGAGCAGCCCGCAGAGGCCACTTCCCCGCTCTCACCGGGAAATCAGGGCTGGGACAACCTCACCAGCGCCATCAGCCTGGACAGAAAACTCCTGACAGCTTATCTCCTGGGAGCCTTTTCCAGGTCACCACAAGAGAGGTGCTCCCCGGGGGGACGCCCCCTTCCCAAACACACTTGGCCCAAAGTCTCCTGTTTTTCAACAAAGCAGGTCCTGCTGTGGCGAGGTGGGCAGGCCGCCCCCGCAGTCTGGGAGGCTTCCCGCAGTCTGCAGTGGCCTGTTCTGGATGCAACTGCTTTTTAACTGGTGAGAGAAGCCACGTAAGCCTTTCATCTCTCAGGGAAAGACAGGCAGCCGCGAGGTTACTCCGGAAGCCAAGCAGGGGACACGCTCCTGTAAGAAGCCTCCATGCACACGCAACCTTTCTCCAACAGGACGACACTGAGCTAAGTTTCTAATCCCATCAGAACGTAAGCTCTGTGAGGACAAGTCCATTTTTGTGTTTTCCTCCTCGGCAAACCCCCAGCACCTGGGCACTACCACATAGCGGGACAGAAACGCCACTGGCTGGCCGACCTCACGCCACGCCCAAACAGGAACCCACGGCAGGAAACTCAGGAGCGGTACTTACTCGAACACTTCCAAAGGCACAGTGATGTCGTGAAGCTGCTGCCTGCACTTATCAATATCCTGTAAGCCGGTCACGATGAAGTTCCTGAGGGAAGAAGCAAAACAGGGGCATGTGGTCCATTTAGAGGACAAGACCAGCACCGGGGAACAGCCCTTCGGGGCCACGGAATTCCCAGGGACGCCCTGGAGTTAACGGTACCCTCGGATATTCGAAACTGCCAATTATGGGGGGAGGGGCAGAAACCAACCCCCTGGAGGGTCTAATGAAAACTCGCTCCCCGGCCTTCCGTCGGCGCGCAGGACCGCCTGCCCCTGGGGACGCGGCTCGCTCCCCGGAGGGAGGCGGGAGGGCGGGGGGCCACCCCGAGGGCCCCGGGGCGAAGCCCGCCCAGAGCCGGGGCGCGGGAGGGGCTGGCCGCTGCCGGGGAGGCCCCGCCGGGAGCCGGGAGCCGCCTCTCGACCCGGCCCGCTCCGCCCCGCCCCCGAGCTGGCGCCACGCCCGCGCCCGACTCCCGCTCCGGGCCTCCCCCCCCGGCCCGCCCGGCCCCTTCCCCCCGGCCCGGCCCGCTCCGGGCCCTCCCCCCGGCCCGGCCCGGCCGGGCCTCCCCCCCGGCCCGGCCCGGCCCGCCCGGCCCCTCCCCCCCCGGCCCGGCCCGGGCCCGGCCCCTCCCCCCGGCCCGGCCCGCTCCGGGCCCTCCCCCCGGCCCGGCCCGCCCGGCACCTCCTGCCCGGCCCTCCTCCCCGGCCCGGCCCGCCGGCCCGCCCGGCCCGCCCGGCCCGGCCCCTCCTCCCCGCCCGCCCGGGAGCCGCGCCTCGGCGGCCGCTCACAGCTTCTGGTTGAGGCCGGCCTGGCTGCTGGGCTGGAAGTCGCTGACGATGATGCCGAGCTGCCGGATGTTCTCCACGAACTTCTCCAGGTGCTCCTCCAGGTGGTCGAACTTCTCCGCCATGGCCGCGCGCCCCGCCCGCCCCGCCGCGCCGCTTCCGGCTTCCGCCCGGCGCCGCCACTTCCGCTTCCTCCGTGGCGGGGGCGGGGGCGGGGCCGCGGGCCTGGGCGACGGGCGGGGCGGGGTCCAGGGCTGGGGCGGGGCCTCGGCGGCGGGGCGGGGCCTGAGATGGGAGGGCGGGGCCTCGGCGGGCGGGGCGGTCCGCTTGGCCCCGCCCAGCGCCCCCGCCCCGGGCGGACGAGCCCCGCGGGCGTCGGTCCCGGGACGCGCTTCGGGCTCCGCGGCCGCAGGGACGGGGGGACCTGCGAGGCCGCGCGCCGCCGCCCCCGGCCCGGCCAGCCCCGGTCCCTGCCCCGGTTCCCGCGCTCAGGTGGGCGCCGGGGGGCGGGGCCGGCGCTGCAGGGCACCTGCCCGCGAGCAGGTGCGCCGAGGCCGGACCCCGCAGGGCGGGCGCTCGCTGCGGGCCGCGGACGCGGTACAGGAAAAAACACGTCGACGAAAGCAAGACCCGAATCCCACCCCCGACGCGAGCCGCCCCGCAGACCCCGGAGGCCCTCCCGGCCTCCGCGGGGCCGCCCCCCCTCCGGCCCTCGCTGCCCCCCGCCCCCCCCGGGCCGGCGCCCGCGCCCCCGGCTCCCGCGGGGCCCCGGGTCTTCCGCCGGCCGCAGCCCCGGCCTCGCCCCGGCCTCATCCCCAGCGGGGACCGGCGGGCTTCGCTCTGGGGGAAGCGGCCGCCAGGCCCACCGAGGCCTCAGGCCGCCCCTCCCCCTGCGGCGTCCTCACGCCGCCCGCGGCTGCACCCCGACGGCGCCGCTTCCCTCCGCGCCCCTCCTGCCAAGTGCAGTGCGCGGTGCCCTGGGGTCCCGGGGAGAAGGCCCCCTTCCCGGGCTGGCGTGAAGCCCGTCCCGGCGAGCACGGCCGGGTCCGCTGGGCCACGTCGCTCCGGTGCCGAAGAACCACCCCCCCCCCCCCCCCCCCGCCGCTCCCGCAGGGCCGCCCGTTCCTCCTGCTGGCGGGATTCCTTGGGCCACGGCAGTTTCCTCACCCGGACTCTCCAGTCCCGGGCAAGATAAAGGGGCTCCCTGTGAAAACAACCTCCGGGGCCTCTCCCAGCCGCGCCCAGGAGGGAGCCCACCAAGGTGACCTGGCCAGCTTGCTGACCCGGGACCCCGGCTCTGCAGCGTCTACTGGCTGCAGAAGCCTCTTCCCCTGCGAATATGCCAGCACCTTGGGTGGAGACACCTCCTGCCCGGCGTGAGGACAGTTCGTGGGGATTTTAAACAAGGTGGAAATAAAATATTCGACAAAAGGAAAAAAAGATGATTTGGGGGCAGTCAGGCCAGAACGTCAAAATGCAGCTCAGTTTCCCAGGAAAGCTCTTGCTGGCGCTTTGCAGTGCGGCAGAGTCACCTTAAAAAGGGAAGACACCTCCAGACTCGTGAGGATGGAGGGGTGAAGAGGGGACCGCAGTCCATACAGCAGAAAGCAAGGAAAAGGGGGATAAGCAAAATAAAGAACAGGCAAGGAAGATAAAAAGCACAAAAAGATGAGCGAATAGGAGACAAATTTTTTGTTGTTGTTATTGTTCTTTTATCTACCTGCGTTTCTTCAAAGGCACCACTAAAACAGAATCCTAACAGCTAAAGGGGGCAGGATAAAATAATAGACACTTAAAATAACCTCAACAAAGTGGTTGGTGCATTGAAAATTGAAATTAATAGATATATAAAAAGACCTTTAATAATAAAAGGAAGAATCCACCACAGTGGTAGGCTGACATTAACTTCTCTGCAACTGACAACATAGTCATGCTATCTAACACCAAGATTGACAAATTATGAAGGAACATTCAAATTCCATAATCACAGGAGTAGATTTGAGCTACTCTGTCAGGAAATTATCAGTCAAGTGGACAAAAACACGCACAGAGATTAACGAAGATTTGAATAATGTGATTAATAGGGGTGATCGCTGAGAAACCCTGAGTCCCGAGAACAGGTTGTTTCCAAACTTATAGGAAATATTTATAAAAGGATGGCCATTCACTAAACCACAAAAGAAGTTTCAGCAAATTCCAAGTTCTGTCACATAGATGGACTTCTCTGACTTCAGTGTAACTGAAAATCAAAACACAGCTTTAAATAATTCATGGGTGTACATACATCGGAATTTGTATGGGCGAGACCCAGTTGGCCTGTCACCGGTGTAACTCTCAGCAGCGCTCCCGCTCACTATCAAAGGTGTCTCGCCTCGGTTGATCTGTTACATAGTCAGTGAGTTACAGGGAAATCGTGAAAGAGTTGGAGCTGAATGACAAGCACTGCTTATCAAGCTTCTGCTTTGTGGCTAAAGTCCCACTTTGAGAGAAAATAGCCTGGAAATAATAAGCTTGAAATGTTGAAGAAAAAGCAGGAGCGAGAGGAAAAAAATCACAAATTCAAAAAATATATGGGAAGGAGAGAAAAAGGTAAAGATAGATGATGAAAATGAAAACTGCTTCATTCGTTGTCATTCTTCCTTCATTAGATGCTACAAAGGTGAATTATTATAAAACAGTGACTCAAACAGACACACTTCAGACAAGCCCCGTCAGTGCAGAGGGTGGTGGGAGGGACAGAGGGAGGGAAACTCTAATGTAAACGAATGAGGGAATTTGGTTCATTTACAGTAAAACTTGCGTGCCCACACCCTGAAAGCTTGGAGGATGTGGGCAAGTTTTGAAGAAAATACAAAAAATCCACCTAAGAAATAATAAGAAACCACAGTAGACCCGACCTTTCAATAAACTGGCCAGTAGACCAGTTTCAAAGAAATGAAAGCCATCAAACACTGACAGCTTTTTACACTAGTTTGTTCTCTTTTTAAGGAAACATCAAAGAAAAAATAATTGCAAACTTACCTAGATGCTTTTAGTGACGAAAAAGACTCAACACATCCAGCTCATTTTTAAAGGGTTGTGTCACCCTGATGTGAGAAGCAGGCAGCCAGGACTGTCCAGAATCTTCCTTCTGAAAGTGGAGACCGAAAATTAATCTTGGCAGATGGAATAAATGATCATGTATCAGTGATTTGTGGTTGCATAACAAACTTCCCCCCAAACTCACAACAACCCCTGTTCTCAATTTTGCTCCCACATCTGCAATGTAGACTGCATGTGGCCTGCACCTGCCCCTCTGCTCCACGGCCCGTGGGCTGGAAGGACTTGGCTGGGCTGGAGGATCCGAGTTCGAGATGGCGGCTTACTTGGCTAAGGAGTTCATTGGGGGTGTGGCTGGGCTAGAGTCTAGAGACACAGCTCCCCTGCTGTGAGTCTGCCTGGGCCTCTGGGGCTTCCTAGCCCTCCTGGGTTCCAGGAACACAAAGCCCCAGAGAAGCAGGCAGAAGCTGACCTACCTCTTCTGACCCACCTGGAAAGTCCCACTGGGTCTTCCCACCATCACCGAGACATCCCTAGACCCCCGGGGAGGGAGCAGAGCCCTGAGCATCAGTGGGAGACGCTGCACCCCAGGAGATGTGCAGGTGAAAAGGGGGCTCTTGCCAAAACTCTTTTTGGAAAACACACGTCTTTGAAAAAGTGACCACCTCTGGGTTCCTCCTAGGGTGGCAGGAATGGTCAGCTGTCACGGCCTGGTAGGAAGTACACGGCCAAAGGTCAAAGGGGAAAACATTTCAGGTAGGTCAGAAAAATAGACATTTTGATAATTTGACAAAACAATCTGTTATAGGGCAGCCCCGATATTGAATGGGTGCCTGGCTGTGGGTCCTCACCCGTGCGCTTACAAGGGACTTATGAATACTCCACGGCAGGACACACAAAAGGTTCATAAAAGGTTTGTTTACAAGGGAAAAGGAAAGAAGGAAAATGCACAACTCAGGGAGAAAATAGGGAAATAAAGTCTTTCATGCGTCCTACCCGATCCGCCGACCTGGAAACCCAAAGGCACTCTCAGAGCTGGCCGGACGCTGCGAGCTGGCGGGGAGCCAAAATGGGGGACCCCCCCAAAGCCCACGTGTCTGGCTTTATACTAACCTGGCTGCTGAACCCCACCCTTGGGTGGGGATGGGGTGTGGAGTTCCCAGTGTCTTTGGCTTTGGCCTGGGGTGGGGGTGGCGTCCACGAAGCCTGTATGGAATCAGCTTTAGGACAGCCTTTCCCCCTAACAAACCCAACTCATCTCAGAAGTCTAGTGTAGGAGGAGTATTAAGATCTTCCAGAAGGCACTAGACTGGATGGTGAAGCTGTAAGAACATGTTCATGAAAGTCACAGACTCACCCAGCATCCCCACTGAGGGCCGGGGAGTCAGGGCTGGGGGGGAGGGGGGCACTCACGTCCTCCCTGCTCTTAGGACCCTGCACCTTTGGGCCTGCTACCTTATCCTGAAAATTCCCAGTTTGTACCTACGGTTCCAGGCTATGTTTTAGGCATTTGAGGACAGGAATCTAAAGAGACACACACACACCCCAGTTCCAAACATATGTAAATTAGCTCGGTAAGCAGTTCTTTATTATTTGAAGGGGGGGAAACAAAGCAAGAGGCAAGAAGTCAAAAACTGACTGTTCTCCTGGGGTGTGTGCAGCACCCCAGAAGTCACCCCTCCCTGTGGGCAGCGGGAGGGTAGCACCCCTCCCTGGCTCCCCCACAGCTGAGAGGCGCAGCTGCTCCTGCGGTGCAGATGAGCCATCTGTGTGCCCTCTCGGGTGCTCAGCCCCTCCCGGACACCTTCTGCTGCCGCCTGCGTTTGCCACGGCACCCGGGGGCGTGAGGGTCCAGTGCAAGGGCACCGTTGGCCAGAGAGAAGACTCCATGGGGCCCCTGAGGCCTCGTCCTGCCCCATAGCAGGCAGCTGGGCTGTTTTCCTGCCGCCCTCCGTGTTGGTGACCCCAGGCCAGACAAGATGTCACCTCCTGGGGGCGTTGAGCCAGACCTGCCTCCTCCCGGCCTTCTGGAAGCCAGAAGCCTGAGGCCAGGCGTGGCAGGGAAGAGGCTGCAGGAGAATCACCCCAGCCTGCGGGTGCCAGTGCCCTAGGGCAACCCCATCTGCTCCCCGTGCCCCGCTGTGTCCCCCCAGGAGCCTGTCTTGCTCTCTGCATTTCGACTCAGGATGGTGCACTCAGGACCGGCGTGCAAGGCGCGAATCCGTGTACCCCCCCTCGGCTCTGGCCGTCCTGGGTAGTCATCAGCTCCAGTTTTCATTCCCATGAACTTTCTCCTCCGCCTCCTCCCATTCGCACTGGCTAGAACAGAAACGCCAGGTGTCTAAAGTCTGGCTTCTGGACCTTCCCAAGCGCAGCCCAGAGACCGGTCAGGTTCACAGGCGCTTTGAAGCATTTTTCAGCCACTTGTCTCCCAGTTGCCGGGATTATTGCTCCACTGACTCATTTTATGTTCTTTGCTGGACGAAAGCATTTCAGACCCACTGAAAACTACGTTGAACTTCTCCCTTCCCTTTCCCCTCCCTCCATGGCCAGCCAGTGAGTGCCTTTACGCAGCACCCTCAGCAGGTTGGTCTGTTTGTAGGAGATGTTTTAAAATGTAAACGCCACAGGCTCCAGATTGCCGGGGACCAGCCTCCGACAAAACGTCTTGTCAGGGGTTCCTGAAAGGATGAGACGGCCTAGGCGAAAACGAAAGAACTGAAAACTTAAGGACTGAGGGGAAGGGAATGAGGAGACACCGACACTTGGTGAGGTGTTAGTATCTTCTGCCGAGAGACTCAGCAGGTCTTTATTTATTCATTATTAGTAATAATAATAAGAGAATACATTATCATGTGTAAAGCATAAACAATTAGTATATTATGTTTCCCATAGACTACTGGCCCCTACAGGTCTCAGCTAGACGGCAGCTTTCAAGGTTAACAGATAATAAACCAAACCTAACATTAAAGCTACTTATTTTTTTATTTAGACAATTATTTAAAACAGTGAATAAACGTCAGTGTATTTTTATTAGCTAAAGCCTAAGCATCAAAGGACTATTTTATTTACATGACCTTTAGCGGGAGACTAGCTGTAGTTTAGTTATTAGAACTTTTTTTACCTAGAAATTTTTTAACTCAAATAGTTTTATATTAAAAACTTTTTCAAGAAACTTTAAGAGAAAACAAAATAGAAGGACCTGTTATGATTATTGTATTGTAATGCTTGTCAGGCATGCTCAATAAGTTGTCTTTCATTGTCAAGTAGGCCAAATTGTTTAATAATTAGTTTTTAATTTTTTATGTCGTTTATTTGTAATATACTGATGCATATAATATAGTGCCTAATGTACTTTTTGGGAAATTTTTTTTTATTTATGACCAAGAACAGAAAGTGAAGGAATGTTACATCTTCAACCTCACGGTGTGAGGCACAAGGAATCTTCAGCCCCACGGTGTGAGGCCCTTTGGCTTCGGCCCCACGGTGTGAGGCCCTTTGGGCTTCACTGCTTGCCAGTGTCTTATCTGGCTGGGGCATCAAGGCCTCCTGCAGCACCAGATGTAAATGAATTAAGGTGGAAAACGCCAGCCAGTGAGCCGGGCACCTGTGAGGGTGTGTACGGAAGGCCTGCAGCGCTGCACGTGGAGGCCCTGCCCGCCTGAAGCCCGCATGACCTGCCACCAGGAAATGTACTAACTTCTTGTGCTTTGTGACCTTGGACTCTGGAAGCCATTTTCTTTCCTTTTTTTTTTTCCACTCACATTTTTATTGCTCTGTCAGCACTCAGGCACTTGGTGATGCCGTGGGGAACGCCTTTGCCATTCCTTCTCATTTCTTCTGAGAACGAGAGTCAGCTGAAGCTTTAAAAGTGCAGTTATCGTACCAAGAGGGCAAACCAGCTGCTTCATGCTTTCCACTTTGTGGGTTTTTAGCACATTGGCAGTTCTGGCAGAAGGGGGGATTTGCAGCTTGTCACTCCAGCGGAGACAATGATGATGGTGAGGATGGTGATAAAGATGGTGATGGTGATACTAATGAGGGTGCCGTGCTCATGGTGCTGATGACGGTGATGGTGATAATGGTGATGATGGAGATGATGTGATGATGGAGACCATGTGAAGATGGTGAAGATGGTGATAACGGTCATGATCATACTGGCGACAATCTCTAGCTTTTTATTGAGCACTTTACTTAAATCATCTCATTTATTTTCACAACCCTAAGGGGTTATGAGCAGAAGCAGCTATCATCTGCACCATACATGGTCAAATGTCAGCCAAAAGGGTTTCCCTAAATGCAGAATTGTGAGGCAAAATCATCCCAGCTGGTGGAGGAAGCTGAGACCCACAAGGACTGCATTAGCTGCCTCTGCACCCTGCGAGGCTGACTTGTCAAAGGGAGCAGTGGCTAGGGCACTAAGAGTATAAACAGTATCTTATTTATACTAACAGATCCACGCTGCCCAACATGGTAGCAACTGGACACCAGAAGACTGGCCAGTGCAACCCAGAGCTGCATTTGTCATTACATTGTAATTCGTTTGAATGAATTAAAATTAAAATAGCCTCCCCTGGCCAGCAGACACGGTATCAGATCTGTAGGGGAGCAGGACATGGAAGGAACTTGTGTCTGTAATACCCAACGCAACAGACAGTCTACCCCCTGCCCCCCGCCATAGGTGACTTCCCTGGGAGCCATTGAGCGAGAGAGGAAATACACCATTATTTTGAGGATAGTAGGGATGATGAGTCTTTATGGGAGGGACCTGGAGCCTCACTTTCTGATTTCAAATCCCAGCTGAGCCACTTAGCTTAGCGCTGTGTGACCTTGGCCAAGTCCGGAGCCCCGAGTTTCTCATCACCACGCTAGGGGTACCAAGAGGACAGTGACACCTCCAGCTGGGGTGAGGATTAAATAAACGAATGCAAACCACGTGGAATATCGAATCCGCTGTGCAGCTACGACCTACTGTCAGGACATTTGGGGTCTCTGCTCCAGCACCTCAGCGCTGCGCTAATGAAGAATGTGAGTGTGCACGGCGGGTCCACACCCAGCGGTGTTGGGAGGGCAGCTGGTGTGGGGCGCTAACTGCTATGACACGCCAGGTCCTGCCGCTGGTGGGCCCTGTGAGGTCGCTCTCTTAGGTCTCAAGCACAGAGACTGCCCCTGCCAGCTTGTTCTTCAGCGGCCCGCAGGCCCTCGGGGACACGAGTGACTGGAGAGGGAAGCGCTCCACCTGTTCACTTACCTGCACCCCCGACTCCTGTGCTGCTGAACGCTGCTGCTGAGAGTCCCCTGGACCCAGGCCCCAGGGTGCCCTGGCAGCCGCTGAACAAGGCATCCCCGCCTGCGGACGCCCCCAGGGACAGCCGCTGTGAGAGGGACCACCCGGCCCACAGAGACCAGCCAGGATGGCCCTTGAGCCCCTTGGCGGAGAACACCCGGGCATCACGCTCATCAGCTCCTGCGTAGTAAGAGAAGGCCACAGGGGAGGGGCTAAGGGACGACGTGGGACTGGAATCCCACGGACACTCGCAGAAAACTGACTCAGGAGCCTGGAGGGAAGCCCGCAAGGCCCAGCCAGGTGGGTGGAGAGGCCTGGCTGGAGGCGGGGCCTGGATGGAGGAGGGCCAAACTGGGTGCTCCAAGTGTAGAGACCCAGCCTGCATGCCCTTCAGGCAGGGAGCTTGAGGAGTTCTGTGTATGACAGTGACAGGAAGATTAAAAAAGGGGGGCCTCCCTGGTGGCGCAAGGGGTTAAGCACCGCACTGTGAAGCTGTCCACAGCCTCTGCAGCACAAGTTCGATTCCCGGCTGGCCAGGGAGCTACCCACACGGTGCAGCAGACCTCTCCATCCCCCGCTGCTCCCCTCAGCAGTGGATTTCAGTGGGTCTGCCCATTCTGCTCCCCACTCTGTCTCTGGTGAATCCTCTCACCCCGTACCTCTGGTCTGTACCCCAAATCTTCATGCATAAATATTTAAAAAATAAAAAGATAAAGATAAGTGTTTGACCTTCAACCTCATGCCAGCCCCTCTGCCATCCACCATGGGGACCACCACAGGGACGCCAAACAGTACTGCAGCCGGGCCACAGCGTCCCCTCCCGCGGGACACTGAGTGTCTGTCTCTTTCAGCGGGTGGCAGTCGTCGCCCTTTAGTGGGAAGAGTTGGGTGCTGGTTCATTTCAATGCCCAACCTTAATAGAGGTCTAATAATGTGTTTGCCATGTAGAGCTGCAAGAAACTGTCATACTAAAATTGTCGCCGGTCTATTTGTGGTGTCTGCCAAGCTCAATTATGTATATATTCACGACCAGAGCATCTTCACCCCAAGAGCTGCGTTTCTTAGCCTTCACTCTTTACATGTTAATCTCCAGTCTGTTGATCTGAGCATAATGTATTTCAGAAGCATAATCATTGCAGAAATTATCCAGCTTTGGTTCTGATTAAAAGTATAAATAACTTTTTTTGCATAATCACAACAGTAAATTGAAGAAATGCCTGGCCACTAAATTCTCAAAGGACTTCTGCGTTTAAAACATAAGCAACATGGGGCCTCCCCGGTGGCGCAGCGGTTGAGCGCTGGGTTGCGAAGCTGCCCGCAGCCTCGGCAGCGCCGGTTCGATCCCCGGCTGCTCCCCGGCCACCGGAGGAGGGTCCCACATGGGGCACAGACCTCTCCTGCCGCCCGCTGCTCCCCTCAGCAGTGTCCTTCGGTCCTTCTGCCTGCTCTGCTCCCCGCTCTGGCTCTGGTGAATTCTCTCACCCTCCCGCGCTTCTGACTGTACCCAGTGCTTGTGTAAATAAATAAATAAATCTTTAAAAAAAAAAAATAAAAAAATAAAAATAAATAAATAAATAAAACATAAGCAACATGGATCAATAATCTATTCTAAGGTATAGAGTGCACCCTTTGTAGTCATTGCTAGCTTTGAAAATTCCATATTTTCCAAATACCATATGAATCCTCATTCCTTGAGAGGGTGAAGTAACACTTCTCAAAGCTTAGCACTATTTATAGATGGCAAATTGGGGACAAGGACTGTTTTTTTAAGTTAACAAGTATTAAGGAACCACTCCATGGCAGCCGTTTTTACATATGTTGCTTTAATTAATTTTAGAAATCTGGTTTTCCTTCTATTACTACTCAGTGCAGCTCTGTGGTCTCACCCTTACCTTCCTTCTTCTGTAATGGTTCTTTATGGATCCTTCTGGATGGAAGCTGTGCTTTCTGCCCACACAGATCTTCAGATCCTCTCTGTAAGTGCTGAGGTCACAAGACTCAGAGCTGATTAATTACTGCAGCCAGGTACCCCAAAGAGCCCCATGTTGCTGCCCAGGCACAAGTCAGACATGACTGGGAAAAGTGCCCTTAGGTCCTGGGGGGACCTGGGGATGCCTATGTGTGCATGTGTGCATGCATGTGTGTGTGCACATGTGTGTATGAGTGGATGTTTGCAATTTGAATTTTACATATGTGAATATGTGAGTATATGTGTGTATGCATGTGTGTATCTGTATGAAAGTATGTGTATATGTGAGTGTGTGCACAAATGTATGTGTTGATGTGAATTGGGTTTGTAAGTGTGCATGAATGTGAATTATGTGAGAGTGCGTATATGTTAACATGGATGTGAATCCGTGTGTTGATGTGAATCCTGTGTGTGTTTCTGTGAATATATGACAGTTTAAGAAAGGGTGTATATATGTATATGTGTGATTGTGTGCACAAATATGTGTGTGCGCAAATGTGGATCATGTAGGTGTGTATAAGTGTGCATGAATGTGAAAGAATTATGTGAGAGTTCTTTTATGTGAATGTGTGTGAGAAAGCATGTGTGTATATATGAATGTGTGTATAGGTGTGTGAGAATGTATCTGCTGTGTAGACATAAATGTGTGTAAGAGAGCATGTGAGTATGTATTATGAGCATATGGGTTGTGCTTAGATGTCAGTGTGTGAGGGGGGCAATGTCTTTCATCCTAACTTCATACTTTACAGGACATGTGATAGTTGGGCTAGGTAGAGAAATCTGGGCTCAAAGTTATTTTCCTTCAGAACTTGGAGGACGCCACCCAAGCGAATAACCAAAGACCTTGCTTCATACTGATTCTTCTTTCCAGAGAGAATCATTCCTGGCTTACCGAATTTCCTCACGAACGTATCTGGACCTAGGTCTTATTCAAGACACTGAGAACTTAGTGGGCATCTTCAGTCCAAATGCATTGGTCCTTTAATGGTGGTAAGTTCCAACCTTTCCTTTTCATATGATTCCTTCCACTCTATCTTCTTTTATTGACTCCTGTGAGTCACATCCCTTTCATTTTTCTCTTCTATATCTGTCTCTTGTCTGGGAGGTTTGCATTCTGTCTTCCAGTCCTTCATTGATTTTTTTTAAATTTCAGCAATTATCCTTCAACATTTTTTCTTATTCTCTGATTGCTTCTCTCTCTTCTCATATAAAATCTTTTTCTTGTTTAGCAAGAAGCAATAGATCTTCATCTTTGAGAATCTAAAATAGTGGAATTTTTCATGAAATGCATTCTTTTCCCCCTGTATTAACTCTGTTTGCTTTGTTTGTCCCTTTTCTTCTTTCTTGTCCTCTTCATTTAGTTTGGTCTCTTTGGTTAGTGGCAGGACTTTCCCCAGACATTCTGCCCATGAGCCACAACCAGGAGAATCTGGATGTGTGGGTACAAACTCCCTGACACATTCCCCAAGACTGTTGCTTTCAAATACACATGGACCACGTTTTTAAAAAATGAAACCACTAGTAACCAGAACATCTCTCTGTGATCAACATGCCCAGGAAGGAGACAGGGGCATGTCCTCCTTCGTGTTCTGTAGCGTTATTCTGGGAGTGACAAGCTCATTCAAGTGGTTCTTGGGATTTTAAACTCGGGAATTTCTTCAAACCACCTGCTTTGAGGAATTATTTTCAAAGATCGATTCTGAATTTTTAAATGTCATATATACCTTAAAATAAATATTATTTCTTTTCTGCTATTACTTTTAATCTATTTGGTATACAGTCACAGTCAGCGGGGAGGCAAAAGATGTTTCCAGCCCTTCATTTAATTTGGGGAGATCATCTTTTCTTTGAAGTGATCGAATGGAATTATTACACATTTAAGTGATGCATTTGTCTAAAAATAATGTTAAAATTTTGTTCATTTGTAAATAAGTGTTCATCAATATGTGGAATCTCAATGCCAAATACGTGTTTGCCAGGTGGATTGCTACATGCCAGCGCAGTCCGGCTCCCAATATAGCGCCTTCCCGTTGTCCCACCTTGATATGGGGGAGGGGGCGAGAGCAGGACAGGATGGGATGATAAAAGCTGCTCCTGATCACAGACACTTTGACTGATTTATTTCTGCCAGATTTTGACAGATCACAGAAAAATGTCGAGGTAGAAAGAAAGGAGCTCTGAGAATAACAGGCTTGGAGTGCTATGCGTAGAGGCTGGGGTCCATGCCACCAGATGTTATTTCTGAGGTCAGCAGAGGCCTGCCTCTCCCTGTGGAGATGACAGCTGCATCCCCACCACTGTTCTACTCCGTGGCCACCCCTCACCCTTGGTGGTGCCCGGATGGATCCTTCCTCTCCTCTCATTTGTGAAATGAGACACGGGGCAAAGGCCCGGAGGGACTGTCGGGCTAGCATGCCATGTCTGTGTCTTGAGTGAGCGTGCCCCACCCCAGGAATGAGCTCCAGGACCAGCTCCAGGCCATCTCTCCCCCAGCAGCCGAGGCACCAGACTCTCAGCCGATCAGCTGACTACACTCGGGTCGCACAGGAGGTGACAGTCCGGCGAGCCTGCAGGAAGTGCATTGAAAGTCACGTCACATCCACTTTGGTCTCCAGGGCCCGGGGTCAGACTTCACCTGGCCCCGGGATGTTGACATTGCATCATAAATCCCAGACGCGGGATGCCCATCACCCTGCAGGTGGATGACACTGTTTAAATAAGCAAGTTCAATAAAACCCCAGCACGCGCACATCAGCACTTTGAAATCAATGCTGTGACTCCTGGGGGCCCTCGGGGACTCTGTGATACGCCTGATTCCTGCTTCACCGCGTTGCATCAACAAGGTGGCCCAGGCGGCGTGCTCAGAGCTGACGCGTGACGGCTGGCTTGCTCTCCTCGGGCCACATATCTGGGTCACTACCCTCGTCCGCAAGGACACCCCCAGAGGGCTGTCTGACCCCAGCCTCCTACCCCTCACAATTCAGCAGCCCCAGGAATGTCCTTGCTAAGCCAAAACCTCTGGAAAAACACAAGTCACACCACGCCAGCCGCTCCAGAGTGGTGACCTGGTCAGGCAGGCAGCTGCCTGTGTCCTCGCTCTCAGCTCCAGGCACCCCACACCTTACTTTGCACAGTGTCCACGGATCCTGCTTTAGAGAAGGACTTGGGTCTAAGGAGAAAGGAGTGTTTATGTTCACATCAGTCTAGAACACTCCTGGGCACGAGGCACGTGGGGTGTGCTTCAGGAGAGGGGCCTCCCTCTGACGCCCAGTGGGCCCTCACCCACAGCTGCCCAGACAGCGGGGCCCAGCCTCACCCGCCCTGCCCCGCCCACAGGGCTGGCCCTGTCTGCTGTCCCCACAAAGCCATGAGGATGTGGGAGGGAGGTTGAGGACATGTCAGCCCCAAAACAGCAGGCGAAGGGGGGTGTCTGGGGTGAAGTGAGCAAACTCCTCAAGTGCTGTGACGCCAGATCTGACAGGAGTTTCTACTTTCCCTTGGAGGACTTCAGGTCTGAGATGGATTCCTTGCAATGTTTGATTCCAGAGCAACCTGACTTGAGAAAATCTATGAGACCATGTCACAGCCGCGGGGGCCCTGCCTGACGAGCTCCAGCCTGGGGTGACAGCAGGTGCTCAAGGAGGAATCCGCTTTATTTGCAAATCAGTTGGCCATTAAGGAAGGAAGCCGGCCTCCCCCATGAAGACGCTGCTCGGTGGGGGCAGAGTTGAGGACAGAGGAGTGCCCTCTCATGGGCTGCAAAGCAGGCATGGGCTTGGCTGAGGCCATTGGCAAGGCCCAGGGCAGCTCGTATGTGAATTCTGAAGACACTGTTCTTCGGGTAAGTGGGGCCTGAGGTTCCTGTGCGTGGGCTCCTGCTCGGGATAGCATCCTCTCCTCTCTTGTCGGCTCCCAGCAGCCTTGGGGCTCAGCTCGGGGCTGTGAAGAGGCCTCTAGCCTTTGCTGTGTCTGCAAAAGCAAGTCTCAGAGAGAAGTTCACATCTGTCGTTTGGGTCTGAGACCAGTGGAACCACTTTGGCTCAGCTTCACAAGCCCTGCAGCACTGGCTCAGACACCATGCGGGTGTCCTGGGGCTGCTGTCATGATGGGCTGCTCCCCCACGACAGCGCCCCCCCGACAGACCCCTATGACAGCCGTCCATAACAGCCTCCCACGAGAGCCCCCATGACAGCACCCCCGACAATCCCCATGTCAGCCCCCCATAATGGCCCCACGTCAGCCCCCACATCAGCCCCACATGACAGTCTCTGCCTCCTATCTATGGAACATGCCACAATGGGGCTCACACTGGGCTGCTCCCCAAAAAAGCCCCTTGCCCTGTTTCCTTGTTGTCCTCAGGAGACTATGTCACCGGCAGGGCCACGGACCCCACCTGCGGGAGAGCTGACCATCCACGAGACAGCACAGAGACCATCCACCAAGCCAGCTCAGCTCAGGCGCCAGCCCCTGGCGAGGGCCTCGTGTCCGGCCACGGCAGGACCAGGGGAGACGCCTCTAGGAGGGCCGGATGTTCAGTGAGGTTTCCCCGCACGGGTAATGGAAATAATTGATAAAGACATGAGCGATTTGCTTTTCTTGGACGTGCCCACCCCAGCCAGCCCTGGACGCCCTGACCAGGCTCTGAGTGCCCAGCGCAGGCCGCGCCGGGTCTCTGCAAGCCGCTGCCACGTGGCGACACCTGAGAGGGCGTTCAACAATGTGTTTGTGACAGATAAGCTTGAATATGCAGGATTGGAAAGATAACACTTCTCAACCGCTTCTTTAATTACAGCTTTGACGAGGAGGCTGTCAGTCCCCCGCGCCCAGGAAGCGGTCTCGGCCCAGGAAGCGGTCTCGGCCTCGCATGGCTCTGTTAATTGCGCTGCCTGCGTCTCGTCAGGCGGCTCCAGCTTTGCGGTGGGTCTCAGGCTGGGGCAGGAGCTCCTTCCGGGGTGCTCAGCGTCATCCCCAGGTGAGGCCCCTGTCCAGGGCCTGACTCAGGCTCAGGCTACCCCTGTCTGGCTCTGGCTGAGCCGCCCCGGGACCAGCTGCCCTCCCCCCGCCCTGGCCGGCCCCCACGGCAGTCATCAGCAGGACGCGGCTTGGTCATCTGTCATCAGCCAAGGGCACATCCAGGGAGCACTTGCCAGCCCCCCTCGAAAAGCCCTGCTCGGAAGAATTCCAAATGGTACAGGTGAACGGTCCCCTCCCACGGGCGGCCACCGCTGCCAGCCCCTGAGCGAGGACTCTTCCGGCCTGCTCGGAGGACAGCGCGGGCCAGAGAGGTTAGGTCAGGCGGGAACCTGGCCCGGCTGCCACGCCAAAGCCGGGCATCATGCCAGCAGCCTGGTGCCCGTCACACACCATGGACACGAAGCCAGCAAATGCCTCTCCCAGGCCCTCAGGGCCCCTGCAGCCGTGAGGGATGTCGGAGGAGCCAACCGACGGGCCTCCTGCTAAACACCTGTCAAGGTCGTGAGGAACCGCGAGGAAAGGCTGAGAACCCCCAGCCCAGAGGGCCTGCGGGCCGTGACCACCAAACACAGCAGCTGCCCGGATGGGGTCTGGGCGACGAAGCGGGGAGCAGGGAGGGGGAACGCAGCCCCGAGCCCACTTGCCGGTCACCAGGGCTGGCAAAGGCGCCTGGGCCGGGCAGGGCGTTGCCGTGAGGGCGAAGGGCACATGGGAATGGGCTGGCCCTGGGCAGGTGAGTCAGCGCCAGGGCACAGGTGCAGGGTCCTCGCTCTTGGGGTCCAGCATGTCCACCCCGCGAGGACCCTGGAGAGCTCCACGCTGTCTTTGCAATTTTGCTGTAAACCTCAAAGTTGTCCCAAATGAGACACTTTTTAAAGACAAAGACCTTGGTTGGAGTCGTGAACGTCCTCCTTCGAGTGGGGAACAGCAGCTCCTGGCAGGAGAGGAGGCGCCCGCACAGCCAACCTGCCCCTTCTACCTGCCCTGGGTGCACGAGGACCTGGCATGGGACGTGCAGTGGGAGAGACGGGCTCTTGGCCACCCTGGCGGGGCACCCTGGTTGGGCAAGAGCTCCCAGCTAAGGTCCAGTGCAGGACACCCGAGGCCGCCGACCTTGGGCTCAACCACCCCGAAGGAAGCGCCCGCTTTGCTGCAGAGGCTTGAGGGGCTCAAGGCTGCCAGGGCACACACTGTGGAGCTCATAAGCTGACAGCACCAGCTGGGTCCAGACTCGAGAGGACCCTGTCCTCTGGCCACACCTGGTGGGGACAGGAGGGATGAGGCGGCGCTGCTGCCCAGAGGCCCATCTGGTAGCCGTGGGGCTTCGACCCTCACCTGCTGCCCACAGACGGATGCTGCGGTGTCCATCAGTCTCGTCTCTCTCCCCTGAGGATGAATGTTCCAGCCACCTCCTGCTGGAGGGAGACTTAGAGATGCCCCCACCCCGTGTGGTGCCACATGACTCGGGGTACGATGCCAGGATCACCCACGCCTGAGGATTCGGGTACCAGCTGCTCCTCCTACACTGCCCGGCTCTGGGGGTGCTCGGGGCCGCCCCCCTGGGAGCAACCCACGCCAACGTGGGTGTGTACGAACAACGCAGAAATAAGCATTTTTTTTTAATTGACAAGATGAAGAAAAGTTTTTGGACTCGGGAAGCTTCCTGAGGAATCGCTGAATGTCAGGGAGAAGACAGAACGCACCCGAAGTGTTTTCAGGAAGCCCCGAAAATGCCTCCTGCATAACATTATCTCCCTCGGCTAGAACTGCCAATTTTGAGTTTCTCACTATTTTTATTTTCTTGAGAAATGATCATTTTTATAAATAGCTTTTTAAATGTCAAACTAACCGACTGAATAGCTTATCCCTACTTCTTCTCCTGAGTCACTTAACCCTTGCGGAATTGTCGTGGGCACGTTGGTGGGGGTGAGTGGGGGACTCCCCAAGTGAGCCCCTTTATTTGTTGAATGCTGTGACCATGTCCTCTAGATCTGGGGTGCTGGCTGTGATGACAGGGGTCATCTTTTTGATGTCCTGTTAGCTCTGGCCACTCATCAGTCACAGCCCACAACCAAGGCCAGTCAAGAAGGCTGGAGCTCCCCAAGAGCTGCTGGCCAGGGCGCAGGCCCCCACCATGTCCTGGGGTCATTCCCACAATGGCAGGACACCCCCACTCATGTGCCCGGCCTGGGCCTCATGAACTCTTGTCCACTGGGATGGCCTGGGCTCCTTGACAGGTCAGAGCCCCTGGCAGCCAGACTCAAGAACCAGAGGTTCCCCTTGACCTAGACGGGGTTCTCCAAGGTGACCCCTGGGAACCTACCGGAAATGCTCACACTCACCCCTCCTGTTATCAGGTCGGGGTCTTTAGGCGCAGACTTCCACGGGCAAGAAGGCTTCACTTACAACCCAAGCCACAGCCTCGAACCACAGGAGTTCTCACGGGAGCCACATGACAGGGACACAGGTGGTGGCCCAGGAGACTGGGGGTGTGGGGCCACAGGCCTCTCTGGATCACTCCTGGCAAG